CTAAATTAGGGACGGCTAGAGCAGATAGCCCTCGTGTAGCTTTGCGCGAAATTCAAAACAAACACTTACCTGCTTTAGCATGAAGTAAAGAAGGCTGTTTATCAAAATCGTAAAGTTTTCTCTCTCTGTACCAATATTTCACAACCTGTTCTCCTGAAAGACAAAGTTAACACGACTTGCAAGATGAAGACTTCTCATATGTACACTTTACACTTTAGTTGTGAATAACGATTGGTGTAATTACGATCCATTTATTCAAACATTTCTAACTGTCGATCTATAAAAACATTTGGATTTTTTTTTCTTTGAAAATTAGGCTTAGAAACAATGAATTGTATCCATGCGGTCAAGATGCACATCTGAGCAGTGGCATAGCTAGAAAATTATCCAAGGGAGAAAAACATTTAAAAATCTTGAAATACCGATCTTCTTCAAAGGACAATCATACACGTACTAGGAACAGGTTTCTAGCTGATCTAGGGGGTCATCTTTTATTAAGATATTTAAATTTCCTAATTTGTTTTACCACAGTTCTCCAAGGAAAGCGATCGCCGCCCCCCCCCCTCTAGCTACGCCACTGCTTCCAACGTTTAAAATATAAGTGATTATTTAGGGGGGGGGATATGTTATCAAGCAGTTTTTTGATAGACCAAGAATTAATTTCAAATCTTTGAATTTCAAGCATTTATTTTCGTTCATGATTTAATATATATTTACTGTAAGAGTGTAAAACGTGTATCCAATACGTGTGTACCTGTAACGTCAAACTCAGGGACGAAGGAACACCTGCAGAATAAATTTTCACCGATGTCTCTGTAGTTTCGGTAGTAGAAGGTGTTGGCATGCGCGAGATGATTAGCCCAGAATTGTGCTAGGTTACACATCTGTGAAATAATGGCACATGTAAGGATACAGAATCATGTAGAAAATAAAACTATGACATACGTAGGGTTATCAGTATTATGTAGAAAATAAAAATGCGACACACGTAAGGATATCAGAATCACACACACACACACAAAATACCTTGCATTTTTTCGTGATAAAAAAAATCCTCAATTTAATATTAATAATAACCAATAGGTGACGCGCATGTTTTCTATTCATTCGGTAAGGGTTAATATTGTATAATATTCAATATAGATTTAAGAAGAAAGTGCGAATGTACTAGATAAAAGTGTCAAAACTCTTTTACTTCAAAAGAAAAATTGAGAATAAGAAATAAGCTAATTGATATAAAGTTATCCAAGGGTTTCAAAATTTTCTCGGCTCAAAACCCCCCTATGACCGAGAGCCCCCCCCCCCCCTTATTGGATTTGAGTCCATAAAAGTGGAGTACCTTACTTTTAAATGTCAGGATAATTTCGGAGAGCCCTTCCTGTTGGATATTCACCACCATCCCACCCCACAGATTGAGAAACCCCGACATAACCGAGATTCATTGTGTAATGAAACTTAAGTGTCAAGAAAGAAAAGGGTAAAAATAATAAGAGGCAAGCACGATATGTATTTATAAGGTGGCTAAAAAAAGAAATCACTCGAACTGGTCTGAACTTTTCGTGAACCGTCCTCGTAAGGTCATAGGTTGTGGCTGAACTCGGTTATCAATGATAAACCTCGATATCTAAATTTACCCTCTAGAATTCTGTGATTTAGTTTTAAATTTAAGCCTAATGTTCAGCTAAAACGTACAGCAAATTTAATAACCAGATCCAAGATAACTGGTTTATTGTATATTACGCTCGAAACATATTCGGGAGGAAGTGATAAGCTGTTTCACTCTGTGTTAAGTAAATTATTAACCGTCTTAACTTTTATCTAAAAATTTAAATGAGAATAACTACAAAATTCATGATTTTATTAGTATGTGTGTATATATATATATATATATAATACTCAATCTGAGGGTCGCGGGTTCGAATCCCCGTCTCACCAAACATGCTCGCTCATTCAGCCGTGGGGGCGTTATAATGTTGCGGTCAATTCCACTATTCGCTGGTAAAAGAGTAGCCCAAGGGTTGGCGGTAGGTGGTGATGACTAGCTTCCTTCCCTCTAGTCTTACACTGCTAAATTAGGGACGGCTTGAGAAGATACCCCTCGTGTAGCTTTGCGCGAAATTCAAAACAAACCAATATATAATACTGCTAATAATTTGTGCTTAATTGGTTTGGATGTGCAATACAACTTCAACACCCCCCCCCCTACCTGATATGAAAATTCTAGGGGAGGGACTTCATGACGTTTTCGAAAAGTGTTATGCCACTGTAGACAGTCCACGACAAATTCACTCTGAGAATAATATGTCCGATTTTCTTCATTGTTGAAGCGTATGAATAGAGGTCGCTGTAACACAATCTTCAGATATGAAAAGAAAATAAGATCAATGAAACTTAAATTATATCAAACGAAGACCTAGTCAGTAATAAAATCTCTAATATATATATATATATCTTAACAAACCATTTATTATTGTGATTGTAATGATTACACTAAACTGCCCCCCCCCCAGTGGTATGTCTGCGGACTTATAACGCTAGAAACCGGGTTTCGATACCCTTGGTGGGCAGAGCACAGATAGCCCTTTTTGTAGCTTTGTGCTTGATAATTAACAACAACAACTACACTACAAATTTAAAACATTCCATTCACGCCATACTTCATCGTATCAACGAATAAAATGGTTCAGATATGATGAAAATAAATACTTCAGGAATGTTTTGTACTTTATAAACCCCCAATAGTCGTAGAATTGAATGTGTTTTTTTTGTTTTTTTGAATTCGATGTGTTAGAAAAATGCCTGTTGTCTTTTGGTGAACATATTGGGCTTTGGACTCCAGAGAGAACATCCTGCTCCTCGCATAACGTCATGAGACTGATGACTGACCTTAAATGGTAAGCAGGCAACATTGTCCTGTAGATAGTCACTGATTGGTTAGCAGATAGCACTAATCTGTAATTGTTTCCTTTGTAAATTTCTCGTAAACCTACTCGAGGGCAATCTGATCCTAATTTTGAAATAACAGACTAAAGGGAAGGGAGCTAGTAGACACCACCCACTGCCAGCTCTTAGGCTACTCTTTTACCAACAAATAGTGGGATTGTCCTTCAAGTTATAACGCCACCACGGCTGAAAGGGTATGTTCTGTAACGGGAATCGAACCCGTAAATCGAAGATTGCGGGTCGATTACCCGAACCACCATGCCATGGTAATCTGTTGGCCGTCCGATTATTGCGATTTAATCATCAGGCAGGACGAACCTGTGAACTGCTGCTAAATGGTCAACAGGCATCATTAATCTGTAGACTGTCGCTGATTCGTCAGTGAACGGCATTAATCTGTAGAATGTCGCTGATTCGTCAGTGAACGACATTAATATGTAGGCTGTCGCTGATTCGTCAGTGAACGGCATTAATCTGTAGGCTGTCGCTGATTCGTCAGTGAACGGCATTAATCTGTAGGCTGTCGTTGATTCGTCAATAAACGGCATTAATCTGTAGGCTGTCGTTGATTCGTCAATAAACGGCATTAATCTGTAGGCTGTCGTTGATTCGTCAGTAAACGGCATTA